GCGCACGGTGCGGTCGTTCTTAGTGATGAAGTGGATGGTTGCCGGCGGCGTCAGGTAATCCCTGAAGATATCCTGACGCGGATACCAGCTGCAGAAGATCTCGTCCATCTCCTCTGGCGTGAAGGGCACCTCCTTATCCTCACGCCGCTGGTCGTTGTCGTCCTCGGTGGCCTCATCCCCCTCGCTGGCCTCGTCCTCCTTCTTCATTTCCTTGCTGTTTCTTGCCTTCTTTCTCTCTTTCTTCTCTTCTTTGCTGCTCCTCGCCTTCTTCTTCTTCTCTTTATTTTCTTCCTTTTCTTCCTTCTCACCGCGGTCTTCTGGTGGACTCCGCTTCTCTTTCTTCACACCGCGGCCTTCTGGTGCACTCCGCGACCTTGAACGCGAGGAAGCCTCCGCCTCGGGCGGGGGAGGGGCACGAGGTTCGCGAAGAACAGCTCCCCGATCACGCTGGCGGTCGCCACGACGATCTCGACGATGATCTCCACGCTGCTTGGTTGCACGACTCCCGCCTTCACCGCGCCGATCGTCACGGGGCTTGGTATCACGATTGCCGCCCATCACCATCTTGAATATAGTTGCCGTGATCTCGTCGAGATCCACCTCAGCCGCCGTACAAGGCCTCGATGTGGTCAGCTGCAGGCGCACGAGCCGACCCTGGACGAAGTCGAGGCTCTCGAAGCGGCCATGCTTGAAGAAGATACGCTTCTTGTTCGCCACGCGCTCCACGATGTCATGGACCGTGGCAAGGTCAGGAAACTCCAACTCCACGCTGTGCCCCTTTGCGTGGGTGTTGGCCAGAATGCGATGGCAACGCACGCATGCATCCTCGTCCTCCTGATCCCCCCCGCGCCTGGCACGGGCGCGCGCACGTTCATCACTGCTCTGTGCGGCCCCTGGGCCGTCGTCGGCGTCCTGGCGTAGGCTCGGCGCAGGCATGCTTTTGGGCCTGGGGTGCATAATGATCCGCTCTGGCGCGTCCGCTCGACCCTCCACTGGATGCCTCTGGGCAGGCACCGACTGGGGAGCACGGCGCCATGGAGCGCGGCCACGACGCTCCTCGGCACTGCCTGCCATGCCAACCCAGTGGACGATCGGTCCATGCACCTGCCTAGGCGCCGGCGGCTTCACAGAGCTCCGCTGGTTGGGCGACGCTGGCTGGCCATTCTTAGGCCCGATCTTGTTGTACGGCTCGCGCTCGCCACTCTTCACCTTGGGGCACTCTGGGTCGCCACGCCAGTGGCCAGGCTGATCGCAGTCAGCACACCGGCTGTTAGCCTTGCGCTGGTCTGTCGGCTTCCGACCAGCCTGGAAGGAACCGCTGGCGTTGATCTTCTTGGGGTCCCGCTGCCGAGGAGCAACGAACCCGCGCTTCTGACGCTGTACCGCCGTCTTCTGCTTGGCCCTCCAGCCGGCCAAGAACGCTTCCTGAAGATCCTCCGGTGCCTCGTACTCCTCGTCATCTGGCCCGTCGTTGTCCGACGCCAGCTCCTCTTCGACCTCGGCGCCTTCCTCGAAGAAGGTGCCCTCGGCCCCTCCGAGATCTCCTTCGCCCTGGTCGTCTGCTTCATCTTCGTCATGCCGCGCCTCCTCCAAGTCGCCGTGGTGTTCATCGTAGTCTTCGCCGTTCTCTACCTCGTGTACGTGCTGGCCAGAGCGCCCTCGCAGCACGCACGGCCTACGAGCCATGGGAGGGCGCGGATAGCGACCGCCCGAACTCCCAGAGGAGCGCCCGTGCTCACGCTGCGCCGCAAACGGCGAGCGGCGAGGGAGCACTGAGCGCTTCTCGGTGTCGTGCACCTTCGAGTAGGCTGCCTTCAGCACGACCTCCATCCGCTTCGAGTCGTAGATGCCGCCACAGTTGAAGAGCACCTGCGCTCGCTCCTTCTGCGACAGTCCAGCGCCACGAAGCATCTTGCTCGCCAACGCGCGATCGCTGATCGCTGATGTGGGATCCTCGAGCTGCAACTCCATGCGCTTCTTGCGCAAGTACGTGGTCCAATCCATGATCGGCTGCCCAGCTCGACGGTGTGCTCGCTCCCACTCCTGATGCACCTGATCGAGGCGCTCGTGATCCATCTTCTCGAAGGCGTCGTCGTAGATAGCAAAGATGGTCTCAAGCGTCTCCTCGCGTCGGAGGTCCGACGCATCAAGCACCTCGATGAGCTCTTTGGCTCGACCTGTCACTTGACTGTAGATGATCAGGCCCAGTTCCACATCTGAGAGCTGGTTGAGGTTGCGGATGACTTCAACCTCCTTGCGCCACTCTCGGTACTTCTTAGTACTCGTACCGACTGCACCATCGAACTCTGGGAGCTTCACCTGCGACAGCAGTAGACGTGCCCGTCTGGGACCGCCGTCGCCACCACGATCCCGATGTAAGGCCAGGAGCTCCCGCTGGGTCTCGGCCATTACGCGCAGGACTGCATGCAGGTCCGGCGGACCTGTGCCCGCGGAGGACGGAGCCTCCACATCTGAACCGTCTTGGCTGACAGCCATGGCGGCCCGCGCGGGTGGTCACAGCCACCGAAGCAGAGCACGCAGTGCGTCCGCTGGAGCTTACAAGCTCCGCTACCAATGTCAGTGCAGTTGTTTTCGCTCGGACCGCGCGGCGGTCGAAACTGCGGGTGCGTCCCAGGGCCCTAGGACTAGGGCCAAAACAGCGGCGGGCAGCGTGCATGCCACAAAACAAGACAAGCGTGTACAACATACACACATGGTGGCACGGGCGGCAGAGGGGCAGGGGAGTGCACTCTTCACAGCCTCAAGAGGGCCCCCAGATCCCACGAGATTGACCAAGAACGGCTCCGAGTTGGCCCTTCACGGCCCCAAGGTGCCGCCGAAACCGCCCCCAACAAGGCCCCAGGATGGCCCCAGCCCCAACACGCTCTCAAGATGAGCCCCAGAAGTCTCAAGATAGCTCCGAGTGCCCCAAAACTTCGCCCGAAGATGGCCCCCAGATGCACGATGGCCTGAGGTGGCGGTAACCTGCCCCGATATAGCCACGAGGTGGCCCAGTCCGGGTGGCCAGCGGCTGAGGGCGCCGCCCCTCAGATTCACGTCTGGCCTGCGGAGCACGCCCGAGAAACGGGTGTGCTCTGGTGGCTCCAACACTACGAAGAGTTCAATAACTTAGCTGGAGGGGGTGGAACCGAGGACCGCGACCAAGACTGAGCAGGGAAGCGTCGAAGTCGATCTTGACCATCATCCATCTTGGTCATCGTCAACATATGGGTCTTCCTCGCGCATCGGCGACGGCCACCATGGACCATGACCAAAGTCTACGTCGACAAAATCCCGCGACACCGTGATTGTGGTCATCGTATTTCTTCCCCTGATTCCGGGCGACGAAATGTGTACATTCCACAGCTCCCTGGAGAGGCCCATCCTGAATCCAGCAGCGATATATGCGCCATGCACTCCTGGCTGGGCCAGGAAGGCGTATGCACAGCTCCTGGGTTTAGCATGGGCCTGCCCAGGAAGCAGTGAATAGGTTGAGGTCGGGCATATCCTACAGGCGGATTTTGGACGAAAAAAAAAAAAAAAAAAAAACGTCCCCATACTATTTTTGTATATGTTTGAACATTCCTCGTGTAGAGGCACATGCCCGACTTAAGAATGTGTATAGATTTCGACACCCGACGATTTAGCCCCATTCCCAGAGCCTCGCCCCATGCCGCCGCCCGCCCCTCCCCCCTCGAGGGATACAAGACAGCCGTCAGTGCCCCGCCATGGCCGTCAGAATCGCACCTCTCTATTCGCGGCCATCACGGACGTTATGGGGGGAGGAGGAGGAGGAGGAGGAGGAGGAGGAGGAGGAGGAGGAGGAGGAGGAGGAGGAGGAGGAGGAGGAGGAGGAGGAGGAGGAGGAGGAGGAGGAGGAGGAGGAGGAGGAGGAGGAGGAGGAGAGGAGGAGAGGAGAGGGAGGAGAGGGGGCGGGAGAGGGCATATGCGGCATAACGCAGCGCCCCTCCCCTGGACTGTGGTGCCGGACGCACTGCGGCCGTGCCGGGGACGCGCTGAGGGCGGAAGCGTTGCGTTATGGCGGGGGTGAGAGAGGGGGAGGGTAGAGGGCATAACACGCATTATGGCCCAGAGGGTAAACAAAAAAAACACTCTCCAGCAACCCCCGAGAGAGACGCCCGGCCCAAGAAGGCCCCAAGACGGCACAAAGATAGCTTCCGTATGGCCCCCAGGAGGGCTGCAAAAAGAAGCCCACGAGGCCAAACGCCAGCCATCCGTGCAGCTGGTCCGCCCATTTCAGACGACCCTGCGCGGCGCAGGGAAGAGAGCCGCAGTTCGAAATCCACCCGCGCTCCACCGGTGGCTTCATCAGAAGAGTGTGCGCTGCGCGCAGACGAGAGCCACATGCTGATACGTTGGAAGCCTCAAGCTCCGTGAAGTACGTGAACGGCGAGGCCACCTCAGGCGACCGACTGTCCCCCGCTCGGACACGCCTGGCCATACGGCGACGATGCGTCGCTCGATACAGAAGTGGCCCTCGCTTTCTACTAAGGATGGCACCTCCCCGCGCCGCGGCATCGAGGGCGCGCTCGTGCCGGGGCGCCACGAGCGCGCGGAGCTGAGGGAGACCTCCTGGCGCGCCGGGCGACGCTGACGGCGAGCACGGCGAAGAGAACGAGGCCGAGAGATCCAGGAGTCAAGACGAGACCACCACCCCCCTACCAGCTCCCCCTAAGACTTCACGAGGCCTCCCAGGCGGGGTCGGAGCGGACGGTGTCGGAGTCTCGCACGGCATCGTCGATGCACCGGCGACGTCGGCGATGCATCGGCGATGCATCGGCGAGAGAGAGAGAGAGAGAGAAAAATAAAAAACAAAAAAGGGGGGGGGGGGCGGGGCACATCGAGCCGCAGCGCCGATGCACCGGCGATGCGGTGCGATCCTCCGACCCCGATCTGCTCGGACCCCAGGCGGGAGGCCTGGATCCCCACGGCTCCCCGCGGCTCCCGGGGCAGGAGGCGCAGGCTCCCCGCGGCGAGGCCTGCGGCCGCGGCGGCCCTCCCGCCGGAGGCGCCCTGGTCGCAGACGCTCGCGACCGTGGAGCTCGCGAACTTGCTGGGCGGCAAGCCCTCGGCCTCCATGCGGCGGATCGCCTCGCGAGCGCGAGGGAGGCCCCGGCGCCTCGGCGCGACGCCCTTCCAGCGGGGCGTGTGCGCCCCTAGCTGCGGGCCCGGGGGCCCTCACGGGTGGATCCGGCTCGGAAGCATGGGGCAGAGAGGTGGGGTCCGGGGCTCCGGTCGTGTTTGTGTTCACGACGCTGCAGTGTTGCCGCGACGTCGGATCTCTGGGCAGAGATGGGGTCCGAGCAGAGGGGGTCGTGCACCCCCCCGGACAAGCAGCGCAACATTGTTTGTCCCATTTCTCGATCCCCAATCCTCCTCCTCCCCCCATGGGGACCCCCAGGGCTCAATGCTGAGCAAGCCGCGGCCGCCGGCGAAAAAATCGGGTCGCGCGGCGCCCCGCGCGAACATCGAAAGTGAGGGGCGCGGGGAGACGGACCGCGCGCGAGAGTCGCATCGCTTTTCCAGGGCAGTCTTGCCGTACCTCTCCAGGGCAGCGTAGGGTCGCGCCGCATGGTCGATGCTTCGCCGATGCATCGGCGGCATGGGGGATGGAGAACATCTAGAGGAAAGAGAGCTATGAACATACACCGATTCTGGCCAGGCTCATCCTTAGCCCAGGATCGGTGCATACGCCCTCTTACCTTGGCCAGGAAGGTATATGCCCCGATCCTGGGTCAAGGATGGACGTTCTCAGGATCGGTGCATGTGCATAGTTCTCTTCGCCCGAACATCGAGCTCCGCGGAGCAAGTTGGGCTCGAGGCTCGGGGACCGGAGGGGCCTGCCCCGCGCAGCGGGCACAGCGCACCTGGGCCTGCCCTCCCATAGGGCCCCACGGAGCGCCCTCGAGGCACCACGGGAACAGCCAGGGAGCAGCCCGGCAGCCTCCTCGGGGATCTTCTGACCCGGGTCAATCCAGACCTGGGTCAGCAGGAAACCAAAAACTGCAATGCAGGAAAAAAAAAAAAGAAAAAAAAAACTTCAACGCAGGTCTTCGCAAACCCGGGTCAGCCAATATGCGCGGCCGCCTTGCGGCCACGAGCGGCTCGCTAACCCGGGTCAGCCAGAGGGGGTCTTCGCAGGATCTTGCAGGATCTGGCGCCCTGGCTGACCCCCGTCTGCGTTGACCCCCGTCTCAAGGCTCCCGACCTCCGCCCACGCTCCTCGGCCCGGCTGCCCCTACTTTTGCAGCGCGTGGAAGCGAGGTGCGTTCGCGTCCGAGGCCCTCTTGGGCCTCGGGCACCTGGAGACCTCGGGGTCTGCAGACCTGAGGGAGCGCGCTCCACAGGCGCTTGCCTTGGGAATACTCCGCAACACGTTGGAACCGGGGAGACTACCACACACACACACACACAGACACACACACACACACAGACACACACACACACACAGACACACACGCACACAAACAGACACACACAAACAGACACACACACAAGCATCCCACATGCTCCTAAGGACTGGTGGGACAAGGGATCCCCGCCCACCCCTCCCCACCCCCCACTCCTCTCGCAGCCAGCAAACGACGACGGAGGAGGGCGCTGGTAAACGATGACTGACGACATCGACAAGGACCAGGACCACGATGAGGACGAGAACGAGGACGACGACGACGACCTAAACGACGGCGGCGGCGGCGGCGGCGACGACGACGCCCTTAACGATGACGGCGACGACGACGACGACGACGAACCTCACCTTCAAGGAAGCGTCGCCTGCAAACGACGACCAGCGACGACGAACAACGACGACGACGACGACGACGACGACGACGACGACGACGTCGACGACAAGGCGCGGGCGGGCCCTAACGGGCGGGTCGGGTTGGGCGGGTGGTCCGTCATTGGCGGGTCGGGTCGGGCGTGACTGACATTCAATGATGCATCATGGAAGGAGCACGCAAGGACCCTAGCGGGTCGGGTCGGGTCGGGCGGGCGGATCCGACCGGGCGGGTCGGGTCGGGCGGGCGGGCCGTAATGGGCGGTTCGGGTCAGTCGGGCGGACCCGGACGGGCGGGTCGTGTCAGACGGGCGGGACATCAAACTGTGATGCACAGTCGAGATGGCACGCGAGAACCCCAACGGGCGGGTCGGGTCGAGCGGACGGACCCTCACGGGCGGGTCGGGTCGAGCGGGCGAGCCCTAGCGGGCGGGTCGGGTCGGGCGGGCGGAACCTCAAACATGTGGCGCGTAATCGAGCTGGCAAGCGAGAATCCTTACGTGCGGGTCGGATCGGGCGGCCGGACCGTAATTGGCGGGTCTGGTCGGGCGGGCCAGACCAGAAAGTATGGTGCATCATCGAAGTGTCACGCGAGAACCCTACGTAACAGGCGGGTCGGGTCGCGCGGGCGGATCCGACCGGGCGGGTCGGGTCGGGCGGGCTGACCCTGGCGGGTCGGGTCGGGCGGGGTGACCCTAACAGGCGGGTCGGGTCGGGCGGGCGGAACGTTCACGCGAGAACCCGTTGTCGTGTGCAACCGTCCCTCGTCCTCGTCGTCGTTCGTCGTCGGCGTCGTCGCCGTCGTTGTCGTTTGCTGTCGCTGCGCACGCCGTCGTATTTCGCCGGCGCGGCGCATGTCGCCAGCAGTGTCTGCGTCGTCGTCGTCGATCGTAAGTCGTCGATAGTCGGTCGTCGGTCGTCGGTCGTCGATCGTCGGTCGTCGGTCGTGGTCGTCGGTCGTCGGTCGTCGGTCGTCGGTCGTCGTCGTCGACGTCGTCGTCGTCGACGTCGTCGTCGTCGTCCTCGTCGTCGTCGCGTTTGTCGGCGTCTCGATCCTCGTCGTCTCATTCCTCGTTCCTCGTTCCTCGTCGTCCCGTTCCTCGTTCGTCGTTCACCGTTGCTCGCTCCTCATGCGTCGTGCGTCGGCGTCGTTCCTCGTTCGTCCTTCGTCGTGAGACATTCGTCGTTCGTTATTCGTCGTTCGTCATTCGTCGTTTGTCGTTGTCGTCGCTTTTCATTCGTCGTTCGTCGTTGTCGTCGTTCGTCGGTCGTCGTTCGTCGTTCGTCGGTCGTCGGTCCTTGTCCGTCGTCCGCCGTTGTCGTCGTCGTCGTCGCCGTCGTCGTCGTCATCGGAGTTGTCGGCGTCGTGGTCACCGCAGTCGTCGTCGACGTCGTCGTTCGTCGTGGTCGTCATCGTCGTCCGTCATCCTCGTCGTCGTCGACGTCGGTGTCGCCGTCGCCCGTCGTCGTTCGTCATCGTGGGTTGTCTTTCGGCGTCGTCGTCTTTGGCGTCGTTGGCATCGTCGGCGTCGGCGTCGTCGGCGCCGTCGTCGCCCGTCGTCCGTCGCCCTTCGTCGTCGGCGTCGTCGTCGTCGGCGTCAGCTTCGGCGTCGGCTTCGGCGTCGGCTTCGGCGTCGGCGTCGTCATCGTAGTCTCGTTCCTCGTCGTCTCGATCCTCGTCGTCTCGTTCCTCGTTCCTCGTTCCTGGTTCCTCGTCGTCTCGTTCGTCGTTCACCGTTCCAAGTGCCCGTCGTGCGTCGGCGTCGGTCGTCGTTCGTCGCTCTTCGTCGGTCTTTCGTCGTTCGTCGTTCGTCGTTCGTCGTTCGTCGTTCGTCGTTCGTCGTTCGTCGTCGTCGTTGGTTGTTCGTCGTTCGTCGTTTTCGTCGTTCGTCGGTCGTCGTTCGTCGTTCGTAAATCGTCGTTCGCTGTCCGTCGTCCGTCGACCGCCGTTTTTGTCGTCGTCGGCGGCGGCGGAGTCGGCGTAGGCGTCGTCGTCGTCGGCGTCGGCGTCGGCGTGGGCGTGGGCGTCGGCGTCGGCCTCGGCCTCGGCGTCGTCGGCGGCGTCAGCGCCAACGTGGGCGTCGGCGTCGGCGTCGTTGTCGTCGTCGTCGCCGTGGGCGTCCGCGTCGCCGTCGTCGTCGACGGCGTCGGTAGTGGGTCGTCGTTCGCCGTTCGTCGGTCGTCCGCCGTGAATCGTCGTCGGTTGTCGTCGTCGTCTTCGACGTCGTCGGCGTCGGAGTTCGTCGTCCGTCGTTGGTCGTTCGACGTCCGTCTTTGTTGGTCCGTCGTCGTCATCATTCGTCCGTCGTCGACGTTATGGTCGTCTTTCGTAAATATCGTCGTCGTGGTCGTCTTGATCGTGGTGGTCGGTGTCGTCGTAGTCGTCGTCGCTGTCGTCGTCGGCGTCGGCGTCGTCGACGTCGTGATCGTCGTCGTCGTCGGCGGCGGCGTCGTCGTCGTCGGCGTCAGCGTCGGCGTCGGCGTCGGCGTCCTCGTCGGCGTCGGCGTCTGCGTTGGCGTCGGCGTCGGCGTTGGTGTCGTCGGCGTCGGCGTCCGCGTCGGCGTCGTCGGCGTCGTCGGCATCGTCGTCGTCGTCTTCGTCGTCGTAATCGGCGGCGGCGTCGTCGTCGTTCGTCTTTCGTCGTCCGTCGTCCGTCGTCCGTCGTCCGTCGTGTTTCCCGTCATCGTCACCATCCGTTAATCCGTCCGTCCGTCCGTCTGTTCGGTCGGTCGGTCGTCGTCGTCGTCGTCGTCGGCGTCGTCGGCGTCGTCCGTCGTCCGTCGTCTCCGACCTCGTCCTCGTCGTCGACGTCGTCATTGTCGTTCGTCGTCGTCATTTTTTGTCGTCGTTCGTTTTCATCGTCGTCGAAGTCGTCGGCGTCGTCGTAGTCGTCGTCGTCGTCGGCGTTGGCGCGGGCGCTGGCATCAGCGTCAGCGTCGGCGTCGAAGTCGACGTCGACGTCGTTCGTAGTCGTCGTCGTCGTCGTCGGCGTCGGCGTCGGCGTCGGCGTCAGCGTCGGCGTCTCCGCCGTCATCGGCGACGGCTTCGTCAGCTTCGTCGTCGGCGTCGTCGTCGATTGTCCGTCGTCGTCGTTCTCGTAGTTGTCGTCGTCATCGTCCGTCGTCGTCGTCGGCGCTTGCGTCGGCGCTGGCGTCAGCGTCGGCGTCGGCGTCAGCGTCGGCGTCGGCGTCGGACTCGGCGTCGGAGTCGTCTTCGGCGTCGGCGTCGGCGTCGGCGTCGGCGTCGGCATTGGCGTCTTCGATGTCGGACGTCGGACGTCGGACGTCGGTCATCGAACGTCGGTCGTCGGTCGTCGGTCGTCGGTCGTCGGTGTCGTCGTCGAGGTCGCGGTCGGCGTCGTCGTCGTCGGCGGCGGCGGGTGCGTCGCTGTCGTCGGCTTCGGCGTCGGCGTCGTCGTCGGTCGGCATCGGCGTCGGCGTTGCCGTCGTCGTCGCCGTCGTTGTTGTTTGGACACGCTGGCGCCCGCCGTCGTTTGCCAGCGGCGAGTGAGGGGCACGGGGGCGTCGTCGTCGTCGTGATCGTCGTTTTGTGATCGTCGTCGTGATCGTCGTCGTAGTCGCCGTTCGTCGTCGCCGTCGCCGTCGTTGCTTGACGGCGTCGGCGACCAGCGTCGTCGCTTGCCGGCGCCGAGTAGGGGCGAGTAGGGGATTTGTGCGGGGTGGGGTTCGCGGGGAGGGGGGTCGAATTCCCCCCCCCCCCTCCCGCCTCTGCCTCCTCCTCCTCCTCCTCCTCCTCCTCCTCCTCCTCCTCCTCCTCCTCCTTCTCCCTCTCCCCCCTGCCCTCAGGGAGGACCCCCCCCACTTCCAGGCGGCCAAAAAAATACTCTCTCGCAGACCTGGAAGCTTCCCTCTGGGAACCTCCTTGGGGACCTCCGTGGGCCTCTGGAGACCTCCGTCCTTCCTTTATCTCTCCTCCTCCCCCCCATCCTTCCTAGCCTATCCTTCCTCCCTTCGGTCTCCCTCCCCATCCTTCCTCCTCCCCCTCCTTCCCATCCTCCTCCTCTCCGTCATTCTTTCTCTCCTCCTCCCCATCCTACCTCCCTTCTGCCTCCAACCGAGGCCACGCTAACCGCGATGTTGGTGAACGGCGATGTTGGGAATATGGTTTTGCGACGCCGAACTCGCGCAGAACAACTGCGGAAGAACGAGAACAAGCACAACGCTTTCATACGATTGGGCTGGCCACGAACCACCCCGGTAACAACACCGAAACCTGCATCGCCGTTACCTACATCGCCGTTAGCGTGTACACGGTTCTACTCGGAGCAGCAGGAGAAAGAAGAGGACGAGGGAGGCGTACCTCTCTGCCCTGCGTGGGCCTCTGGGTGGGCCCTCGCCATCACGGCTTGATCAGCCTCGGAATCCTGGTTAGAACGACTCCGTCTCCCTCCTCCTTGAGTCCGCCTTGGGTGTCACTGCGCTGGACCCCGAGCAGCCTCAAAAGTGGCGGCATGCTCACAGCTCGCAGCCCTCCAAGGATGACGAGGTCTAATCTGAAACCGCCTAAGGCGTCAACGATGCGCTGCACTTACAAGGAGCCCACGAAAGTGGCGACAGTTTCACAGTTCGCAGCCCCACAGGAACGGCGAGGTCTAATCCGAGTCCGCCTAGGACGTCACTGCTCTGGCCATCCCAGGAGCCCACGAAAGCAGCGACAGTTTCGCAGTTCGCAGCCCCCCAGAGATGGCGAGGCAGGAGGCAGGTAGAAGGTAGACAGGAGGCAAGTAGGAAGTAGGAGGCAGGAGAAGTGAGGAAGGCGGGACAACGGGAGGAGGCAGCAGCACCCTGCTCAACACGAGAGCCCGTCACTGGAGGGTTGGAAACAGAAGCGCCCAAGATCCACGATCCCCTCTTGGCCTGCGGAGAGGCGCCCGGGTGGAAATGCACCCTGGATCCCCGAGCTTTCCCCCAAGGCCCCCAGCTTCGAATCCAGAGCTTTCGTTTTACAGCCAAGGGCACAGATGAGGCCCTGGGATCCCGAAAGCAACAAAAAAAACACTCAAGGAACACGCATATACACACAAACTTCTGGGAGGCCAGCGCGGGGTTCCTGGATCCGCGCTGGACCCCCGCCCTGGCGCGCGGAGCGCGCCAGGGGCGGCGCCAGAGGCGCCGCCAGGGGTTCCCAGCGCCAATCCAAGAAGTCCGCGGAGTCAGCGCCCCTCTGACGGGGACTCCACTGGCGGGTCCTTTGGCCAGCGACCCAGCGAGCCCAACCCTCCCCGATGTGGGCAACGCTGCAATGCCAGAACGAGGCCTCAAAGTGACAACTTGCGGCAAATTTCCACAGCACGAATGGGCGAGTACCCGTTGCGGTGCCGCTGAGCGGAGCGCGTCAGGGGCGGCGCCGGAGGCGCCGCCAGGGGGTCCCAGCGCCGATCCAAGAAGTCCGCGCGGACCTCCGAAAGTGTACACCCTGCGAAATGCTTTTAGAAATCATGGGTAAGAAATTCATAGTCTCAGAATTCGAATCAAAGCCCAGAATATCTATTCAAATCTTGGGATTTACATTGAAACATTAAGAATTATCGAGACTCTGGCCGAAAACTTGGGTATTCTTAAGCATCGCCTAGAGTGTATGTTGATGCCCCCTTGTGTTCTTCGGCAGGAGGGCCCGGCTCCTCCAGGCCCCACGGCAGCGAGAGGCCGCCGGGGGTCCCCTCCTCTCCCTCCCCGGGGGGCTCCCTCCCTGGCGGGCTCCAAGGCAAGACGGGCCTCGGTCGGCCGCTCGGGTCGCTCTGGGCGGTCCCACGAGGCGCTCGGCCGAGTCACGGCCGATAGTCGCGTCGAGTCTCGTCGTCGTCGTCGTCGTCGTCGTCAGTGTCGTCGTCGTCGTCGTCGTCGTCGTCGTCGTCGTCGTCGTCGTCGTCGTCGTCGGCGGCGGCGGCGGCGGCGGCGGCGGCGGCGGCGGCGGCGGCGGCGGCGTCGTCGTCGTCGTCGTCGGCGGCGGCGGCGGCGGCGGCGGCGGCGGCGGCGGCGTCGGCGTCGGCGTCGGCGTCGGCGTCGGCGTCGGCGTCGGCGTTGGCGTCGGCGTCGTCGTCGACGTCGACGTCGACCGCCGCCTTCGCAGTCGCCGACAGGGCATCCCTCGGGGGCTCCTCTGGAGATGTGCGGTGCTCTGGAGATGTGCCGAGCCAGGCATGAAGAGGCCAACGGGAACATAAATTGATAGGAAAAAGCGCGGGGGGGGTTCAAACTGGGGGGGAGGGACGCCCCCTGAATTGCAACGGGGAGGGGAGTTCGAACCGGGCCCCCCCTCAAAATGTGGGGGGGTGATTTGCAAGGGGAAGGTTCGAACCGGGTGAGGGGGGCCCAGTGGCAGCCGACGACAGCGAGCGCCGGCGCTGACGCCGGCGCCGTCGGGTAACGACGACGACGACGACGATGATCGAGCCTGAGCGAGATGCTATAGAAGCTGGGTCAAGCCCTAGTAAGATTCTGTCAAAACTGGATCAACCCCTAATAGGTCAATTAGAGTTTGCTCAAGCTACACTCGGATTCCATTAGAGCTTGATCGAGCCTTAGTAGGATTCGAATGAAGCTGGATCCAGCTATAATAAGATTGTATGGAAGCTGGTTCGAGCCAACCTGGGATGGCATCAAACTGGGACCCAGGTACAATAGGATTTCATCAGAGCTGGATGGAGATTTGAAATAGTTTTCGAATAGGGCTGGACCCAGCTAAAGTAGGACTCTATGAGTAGTGGGCCGAGACCGACTAGGATGCTATCAAAGATGGATCCAGCTAAAGTAATATGATGTGAGAGCTTGATCGAAAAAAACTGAGAATATTATCGTAGTAGAGAAGACTAGAACCCACCACCCCCCTGGGAGGGGGGGGGGGCGGTTCAAACCCCCCCGTCCTTGAAGGGGAAGGGGGGGCCGGTTATAAAGGCCGGGGTCGGGGGGGGGCCCACCCGATTCTCTGGGCGCCTCAAATGTTTCATGGGTGCGGCGGTTCCAACGTGTCCAAGGATTCTTGCCAAAGCAAGCGTCCACGAACCGCGTTCTCTCATAGATTGTCACAAATTCCAGGATTCCCACCATTTGTCCATCTTTGCTGCGTACTCGTCCTCCCTTCCATTTCCAATATTTCCTCGCGTGTTGCCAGAATTAAATTTACGTGTCAGTGCCTATACGTCCCTCCTGAAACCAAGGGATCCCCAAGACCTCCACGACCCTTCGGAAATCTTCGGGCCCCCGACCTCGAAGACCTCCCGAAGCCGTCGAAGACCCCCCGAAGGCCCTCCCAAGGCCCCGAAGGCCCGAAGGCCGAGCCAACCAGGGACCCTCGAAGACCTCCGGAAGCCTCATCGAAAACCTTCGACGACCTCTCGAGGACCTCCAAAAGATCCCTCGAGGGCCCCCGGGCCGCTGGCCCCCGCGGCGCGCCCCCCGCGGCCGGCGGAGCGGCCGCCTCCAGCGCGCGGGACGCGGGCAGGCCCCTCCAGCAGCCCGTCAGCGAGGCGTGCGCGAACGCGGAGGACGCGATGCCCGCCTCGCGCCCGCGGCCATCGCGACAGGCGGCGGCCGGGCGAGCAAGCACTCTGTTGGAGTCAGCGAAAGCACTCTCTGTGTTGGCACGCATTTTGCGTCAGCGAGCCCGAGCCTCATCATCCTCCTCCTCCTCCTCCTCCTCCTCCTCCTCCTCCTCCTCCTCCTCCTCCTCCTCCTCCTCCTCCTCCTGCTCCTCCTCCTGCTCGTCCTGCTCCTCCTGCTCCTGCTCCTGCTCCTCCTCCTCCTCCTCCTCCTCCTCCTCCTCCTCCTCCTCCTGCTCCTCCTCCTCCTCTTGCTCCTCTTCTCTCCTCCTCCTCCTTCTCTCCTCCTCCTGCTCCTACTCCTCCTGGCCTCCTTCCTCCTCCCTCCCTCCTCCTCCTCCTCCTCCTCCTCCTCCTGCTCCTATCCTCCTCCTCCTCCTCCTCCTCCTCCTCCTCCTCCTCCTCCTCCCTCCTCCCTCCTCTCCTCCTCCCTCCTCCTCCTCCTCCTCTCCTCCTCCTCCTCCTCCTCCTCCTCCTCCTCCTCCTCCTCCTCCTCATCCTCCTGCTCCTGCTCCCCTCCTCCTCCTCCCCTCCTCCTCCTCCTCCCTCCTCCCCTCCTCCTCCTCCTCCTCCTCGTTGTCCTCCCCTCCTCCTCCTCCTCCTCCTCCTCCTCCTCCTCCTCCTCCTCCTCCGCCGCCGCCGCCGCCGCCGCCGCCGCCGCCGCCGCCTCCGCCTCCGCCTCCTCCTCCTCCTCTCCTCCTCCTCCTGCTCCTCCTGCTCGTCCTACTCCTCTTCCTGCTGCTGCTCATCCTCCTTCCACACGCCCTCGGGGTGGCAGCAGGAGAGGGAGGACAAGGACACGGCGCTGGGAGAGTCAAAGTCAGCAGCAGCAGCAGCAGCAGCAGCAGCATATGACTGTTATTACCTCTCTGCATGGGGAACTAGACGCAGGGCCCTCAAAGTGAGGAGGGGAGAGAAGACGAGAGGAGAGGAGAACAGGGAGGCCAGAGGAGAAGCAGCAGCAACAGCAGCAGCAGCAGCAGCAGCAGCAGCAGCAGGGGCAGGAGCAGCACTGGAGACTGGCCCCCTCCCCTCCCTTTTCCCTCTCCTGCAGCCGAGGGGGATCGAGCCTCCTCCATCTCGACGAAAATGCGGAGGGCCCTCTCCGGGTCCGCGCACCTCGGGGAGGAGGACGAGTGCGACGAGGATGACGGCAAAGAGTGGCATAAAGGGAGAGGGAAGAGTACAGATGACAGGGGTGAGGAACAGGAATAATTATGAGAGAAGAGAGGCTCGACAAAAAGAGGCCAACCGACAAGGAGAAGAGAGAAGAACGGGGAGACCACATGTCCCGTGTCGTTCACTCGCTAGGCTGCCGCCCAAATCCCTGCTGGACAGTCTGGGTTGGGGATGTACCCTCTGCAGATGTCGCGGACGAGGCCGAGATCGTCATTCGGCAGCGTGCCTCCAGGCGCCCAACACCGACGACCCCCTCCGAAACGCAGACTGGGCGTCAACGCTGCGTATGCAAAAATCTCACTGCATGGGTCCGCAGAGCTGTCGGCCTGGCAAATCCGCCGACCCCCGCTTGCCAGGGGTGAAAAGGAGCGTGAGACAGTTGGCTGTTCCCCTGTGGGGGGGGGAGAGGGGGGAAAGGGGGGACGGGCTCCACGGCGCACATCCCTGGCCCTCGGAGCATCCAAATCCGCCCACCGCGGCACCCAAGATGCCCAAGATGCCCCCTTCAGATTGGTCAAGAAGTGCCCCAACGCGCTGGAGAGGCCCCCAGAGCATCCATGATAGCCTCGGGACGGTCCAAGATGCATGCAAGACGCCCTCAAGGGGCCCAAGGGGATCCCCAAGATGGCTTCAAGAGGCATCAGTCATTGATTTCCATGTTCTTAATGGGTGAGTCTTAAATTCCCTCCATGTCAAAAGGTTCTGAGAAGTAGAAGCATCCTCGTCCTCCTCATCCTCCACAACTTCCTCCTCCTCCTCCTCCTCCTCCTCCTCCTCCTCCTCCTCCTCCATTTCCTCCTCCTCCTCCTCCTCCTCCTCCTCCTCCTCCCCCTCCTCCTCCTCCTCCTCCTCCTCCTCCTCCTCTCCTCCCCCTCATCCTCCTCCTCCTCCTCCTCCTCCTCCCCCTCCTCCTCCTGCTCCTCCCCCTCCTCCTCCTCCTCCTCCACCTCCTTCTCCCCTCTCAAGTCACGGCGGCCCGAGCGGCCCCCCGCAAGGCCGCTCGGCCGTCGTCCTGGGGCTTCATGTGGGGAGGTGCGCCGCCCCCTGCCGCTTGAGGTCCGGGTGCTCCCGGCAACGCCGGGCTGAGATTGTTCGCCTCTCTTCGGGCACGGCAGGTTCGCGCCGTGTCGACCCTGGCGTTGGTTCCTGACGCCGCGCTGGATCGTTCAACCTTGAACGATCGGCCGCTGCCGCAACGTCCGATCGTTCCACATCGAACGATTCTGGGTCGCCCGCGGCGTTCAACCTTGAACGCCGCTGGCGGGGTCGCCGCCGGTCGACACGACACGAACCTGCCGTACTTGCCGCTGCAGCTCATTTTCCTGGTGGTCTCCTCGTGTTGTGAGACGGGACTTTTTGGTGGACGGGCTGCCGGGCGTGCTGGTGGTCATTGTGGGCATGGGGTCCGCTACGGTGAGGCAGCTTGTGCTTGTTTTCGGGCCTGGGCGCTCTCCACTGGTTGTCATTGTGCAGTCGATTTCTGGTGGGATGGGGCTCAGGTATTCTTGATTCAGGGCTTGAGGGAAGAGCCGATTGGCGAGCATTCCCCTCGCCCTCGGGCCTGGTGTGCCCTCAGGACGTTTGTGCAGTATTCGGCGGTGTATTGCACGTTGTGGGGTTTTATATTGTTCTTCTCTGGTTGGTGGTTGAAAGTAGCGTGCAGCTCGCCACATACTTTGTGAGTATTGCTGGAGGTGGCACAATTCATTACTTCACTGCGGGTCACTACTATTGCCGGGTGTCTGCATCACTGTCTTGTTTTGTTGTTGTCTTCTCACGGGCCAAGTCGTTCATCATGTATTGCCACGGTCTGTGCTCATGGGCCACATCGTGTGGGTGTGGCATGAGTTACGCGTCTTGGAGTACGCGGCTCATGATGATCGGTGTGGCGGTCATGACAAGTAGGCATTGGTGCAGCATTTCGGCATTGTGATTTTCGTTGCGTTATTTTACATTTCTTCTCTGGCTGGTGGTTGAAAGAAGCATGCAGCTCACCACTTTCCTGGGGATGGTTGGAGGGGCATTATTTCGTCATTGCGGGTTGCATCGTGTCGGTGTGTTTGCTCATTGTTCTCTACGCCATTATCTTCTGCCCGTCCGTGGAGGTGTAGGGTGTTAGGTCGGCCCTAAATCTGGGCTGACCACGTGGGGCCGTGCATGCACACAGGCTTCCCACTTCATCGAATCGAATCGAATCCACCTCGTCCTCATCCTCATCCTTGACCCTCTTCTTAACCCTACCTACCCACGGCGGGTACCTCCGACGAGCGAAAGAGGGGCCCAGCGAGGCGTTCGAGCGCGCCTCTCGGCTGCCTGCATCAAGGAGGTGAAGGTAATGACGTTAGGCTTCTCGCCAGCCTCCTCGGGGAGGGGGGGCAGAGGGAGGAAGAGGATGAGAATGGGAGGAAGGGGAAGGGGGTAAGGAAGGGGGAATCGATCAGACAGACAGACAGACAGACAGACAGACAGACAGACGGACGGACGGACGGACGGACGGACGGACGGACGGACGGACGGACAGACAGACAGACAGACAGACAGACGGCGCAGCAGCAGGAACAGGACTAGGAGGAGCGGGAGGACCAGAAGAACCAGGGGAAGGAGGAGGGGAAAGGACGGGGGCGAAAACGACGAAGGAATCGGATCCAGAAATGTGGCCCGCGCTAGGGGCTAGAGCGCCATTCTGAACGAGGTGACCTGAGGTGAGCAAAGCGCCGAACCTGAAATGGAGCCAACGCTGCAGCAGAAGCACTGTTATGCAAGACCGAAGACGTCGTCAGTGACAAAAAATCCTGGCGAAGAACCCAACCATGTGCAGTTGTGAATACCGGAGTTGTGATTGTTTCCTTCGGTGGAGCTCCCTAATTAGCCGCATGCGAACGCAGCCGCTGTGGCCTTCGGTGGGGCTCCCTATGGGGGCCACGAAACGTGTGAGGGTGTGCTGAAATGGCGTTGGAACCAGATGCGAACGCAGCCATTGGAGCCTTCGGTGAAGGCTCCGTATGGGGACACGAAACGTGTGAGGGGTATGCCAGAACGGGGGCGGAACTGCATGGGAACGCAGCCTCTGGGTCCTTTGGCGGAGCTCCCTATGGGGCCACAAAACGTGTGAGGGGTGTGCCGAAATGGCGGCGGAACCGCATGCGAACGCAGCCACTGGGGCCTTTGGTGGAGCTCCCTATGTGGGCCACGAAACGTGTGAGGGTGTGCCGAAATATGAATGAAACCGCATGCGAACGCAGTCATTGGAGCCTTCGGTGGAGCTCGGTATGGGGCCACAAAACGTGTGAGGGTTGTGCCGAAATGGCGGTGGAACCGCATGCGAACGCAGCCACTGGGGCCTTCGGTGGAGCTCCCTATGAGGGCCACGAAACGTGTGAGGGTGTATCGAAATTGGGGTGGAACCGCATGCGAACGCAGCCGATGGGGCCTTTGGTGGAGCTCCCTATGGGGCCACAAAACGTGCGAGGGGTGTGCTGGAATGGGGGTGGAACCGCATGCGAATGCAGTCACTGGGGACTTCGATGGAGCTCCCTACAGGGCCACGAAGCGCGTGAGTGGTGTGCCGAAATAGCGGTGGAGCCGCATGCGAACGCAGCCACTGGGGCCTTCAGGGGAGCTCCCTATGGGGCCACGAAACGTGTGAGGGGTGTGCCGAAATGGAGGTGGAACCGCATGCGAACGCAGCCGCTGGGACCTTCGGTGAAACTCCCTATGGGGCAACAAAACGTGTGAGGGTGTATCGAAATTGGGGTGGAACGGTGGAAGCGCATGCGAACGCAGCCGATGGGTCCTTCGCTGGAGCTCCCCATAGGGCCACGAAATGTGTGAAAGGTGTGCCGAAATGGCGGTGGAACCAGATGCGAACGCAGCCACTAGGGCCCTCGGTGGAGCTCCTTATGGGGCCACGAAACGTGTGACGGGTGTGCCCAAATGGAGGTGGGGAGGAGGGAGGAGCGGGAGGAGGGGGAGGAGAAAGGAAGGCGGGGCGCTCTCTCTTCAAAACGAGGACCAAACACCACAGGATAATGCGGCAAAACATATAACAGATGTGTTTGAAATCTTGTGCGCTAAGGAAACCCTGTGCGTAAGAGAGTGGTCCCAAAAGTAGTACTCAAATTGGGTGACTGTGGAGGAGGACGAGAGGAATGAGAAAAATTATCCCGGCTAAGCAACCTAACAGCGATGTGTATAAGCATACCTGGAAGCATTCCCCTTAAGATTCAGGTGAGAATCCAGTTGTAGAATTGTGCAGTTCTCGCAGTCGCAGTCGCATTCGCACTGACAGTCGCAGTGGCAACGGCCTTAGAATCCAATGGAATCCTCAGGATCCCTAGGGATTCATAAGGCATCCTTAGCATCCTTAGGAATCAATCCTTAGGAATCCTGATTCCTATGGATTCCTAGGGATTCCTAAGGATTCCTGGGGATTCCTAAGGATTCCTATGGATTCCTACGGATGCCTCAGCCTGCCTCAGTTTCAGCCTCAGCCTCAGCCTGCCTGAGCTTCAGCCTCAGCCTCAGCCTCAGCCTGCCTCGGCCTCAGCCTCAGCCTGCCTCAGCATCAGCCTCAGCCTGCCTCAGCCTCAGCCTGCCTCAGCCTCAGCCTCAGCCTCAGCCTCAGCCTCAGCCTCAGCCTCAGCCTGCCTCGGCTTGCCTCAGCCTCAGCCTCAGCCTGCCTCGCCTCAGCCTGCCTCGGCCTCAGCCTGCCTCAGCCTCCCCTCCTCCCCCCCCCCTTCCCCCCCCCATTCAGCCTCACCTTGTCTCAGCTTCGGCCTGCCTCGGCCTCATCCTCAGCCTCAGCCTCAGTCTCAGCCTCAGCCTGTCTCGGCCTGAGCCTGCCTCGGCCTCAGCCTCAGCCTGCCTCAGCCTCAGCCTGCCTCAGCCTCAGCCTCAGCCTGTCTCAGCCTCAGCCTGCCTCAGCATCAGCCTCAGCCTCAGCCTGCATCAGCCTCGGCTTGCCTCGGCCTCAGCCTCAGCCTGCCTCGGCCTCAGCCTCAGCCTCAGACTGCCTCAGCCTCAGCCTCAGCCTGCCTCAGCCTCAGCGTCAGCCTCTCAGCCTCAGCCTGCATCAGCCTCAGCCTCAGCCTCAGCCTGCCTTAGCCTCAGCCTCAGCCTGCCTCAGCCTCAGCCTGCCTCAGCCTCAGCCTCAGCCTGCCTCGGCCTCAGCCTGCGTCAGCCTCAGCCTCAGCCTGCCTCAGCCTCAGCCTGCCTCAGCCTCAGCCTCAGCCTGCCTCGGCGTGCCTCAGCCTCAGCCTCAGCCTCAGCCTCAGCCTGCCTCGGCCTCAGCCTGCCTCGGCCTCAGCCTGCCTCAGCTCGGGCATTCAAAATATGACACAGGACTAGTGCTCTGGGAACACGAAGATCACGAAGTGGCCCACAGTTGGCTCCGGGCAATCAAAATATTGTACAGGAATTGTCTTCTGGGAACACGAAGAACACGAAGTGGCCTACAGTTGGCTCCGGGCATTCAAAATGTGGCCTGGGAATGGTGTTATGGGAAAACGAAGAACACCAAGTGGCCTACAGTTGGCTCGGGGCATTCAAAATGTGGCCTGGGAAGGGTGTTCTGGGAGAACGAAAAACACGAAGTGGCCTACAGTTGGCTCCGGGCATTCAAAATATCGCCTGGGAATGGTGTTCTGGGAGCACGAAGAACACGAAGTGGCCTACAGTGGGCTCATGGCATTGAAATGTGGCCTGGGAATGGTGTTCTGTTGGCTCCGGGCAGTCAAAATGTGGCTCCTGGCAGTCAAAATGGGGAGTCCCCCGTTTTCCCCGGCATCCCCCCGATCCTGCCCAGACCACCCTGGGGAATCAGGATGCTCTCTTTTGACCCCACTAAAAACCATCAGTCTTCGCTGTTAGGTAAAGAAGTTATCCGAAGATCCATGCAAGCCAATGCGCGACAGCGATGCCACATGTGCAAGAGACAGCCGACGACGAAGGCCGGGGCCCACAACAAGACACAGACGACCCTGGAGCCGGAACCACTGGTGAAAACGGGAAGCCCGCACGGGCTACGAGCCATCATCCCAGAGGTATCGGCCTCGGGCCAAAGGGGCAATCGGGTTCGGTTCGGGGGGGGAGTGCCAGCGCGGCACCAGGCTGCCATTGGATGTGGTGGCCGCGCCCAGGAAGCGCTACATCCTGGAGGTGCGTTCAGGTGGCATGGCCGCGCCCTGGGCCACGGGGGATTATCCCGGCAAAGCAACCTAACAGCGATGTGTAAGGAGCATATCTGGAAGCATTCCCCTTAAGATTCAGATGAGAATCCAGTTGTAGAATGCTGCTGTTCTCGCAGTCGTAGTCGCATTCGCGATGACAGTCGCAGTGGCAACGGCAGTCGCAGTCACAGCCTCAGCCTCAGCCTGCCTCAGCCTCAGCCTCAGCCTGCCTCAGCCTCAGCCTGCCTCAGCCTCAGCCTCAGCCTGCTTCAGCCTCAGCCTCAGTCTGCCTTCAGCCTCGGCCTCAGCCTCAGCCTGCCTCAGCCTCAGCCTGCATCAGCCTCAGCCTCAGCCTCAGCCTGCCTCAGCATCAGCCTGCCTCAGCCTCAGCCTCAGCCTGCCTCAGCCTCAGCCTCAGCCTGCTTCAGCCTCAGCCTCAGTCTGCCTTCAGCCTCGGCCTCAGCCTCAGCCTGCCTCAGCCTCAGCCTGCATCAGCCTCAGCCTCAGCCTCAGCCTGCCTCAGCATCAGCCTCCCTCAGCCTCAGCCTCAGCCTGCCTCAGCCTCAGCCTCAGCCTCAGCCTGCTTCAGCCTCAGCCTCAGTCTGCCTTCAGCCTCGGCCTCAGCCTGCCTCAGCCTCACCCTGCCTCAGCCTCAGCCTCAGCCTCCCCCCAGCCCCCCCCACCCCCTACCACCCCCAAAGCCTGCCTCAGCCGTGCCTCACTCAGCCTCAGCCTGCCTCGGCATCAGCCTCAGCCTCAGCCCTCAGCCTCAGCAGCCTCAGCCTCGCCTGCCTCAGCCTCCTGAGCCTCAGCCTGCTTCAGCCTGCTCAGCCTCAGTCTGCCTTCATCGCCTCGCCTAGCCTCAGCCTCAGCCTGCCTCAGCCTCAGCCTCAGCCTGCCTCAGCCTCAGCCTCAGCCTGCCTCAGCCTCAGCCTCAGCCTGCCTCTGCCTCAGCCTCAGCCTGCTTCAGCCTCGGCCTCAATCTGCCTTCAGCCTCGGCCTCAGCCTCAGCCTGCCTCAGCTCTCAGCCTCCGCAGCAGCTGCTCAGCCTCAGCCTCAGCCTCAGCCTCAGCCTGCCTCAGCCTCAGCCTCAGCCTCAGCCTGCTTCAGCCTCAGCCTCAGTCTGCCTTCAGCCTCGGCCTCAGCCTCAGCCTGCCTCAGCCTCAGCCTGTATCAGCCTCAGCCTCAGCCTCAGCCTGCCTCAGCATCAGCCTGCCTCAGCCTCAGCCTCAGCCTGCCTCAGCCTCAGCCTCAGCCTGCTTCAGCCTCAGCCTCAGTCTGCCTTCAGCCTCGGCCTCAGCCTCAGCCTGCCTCAGCCTCAGCCTGCCTCAGCCTCAGCATCAGCCTGCCTCAGCATTCAAAATGTGGCCCGGGAATGGAGTTCTGGGAACTCGAAGAACACGAAGTGGCCTACAGTTGGCTCCGGGCATTGAAAATCATGCCCAGGAATGGAGTTCTGAGAACTCGAAGACCACGAAGTGGCCTACAGTTGGCTCCGGGCATTCAAAATCTTGCCCAAGAATGGAGTTCTGGGAACTCGAAGACCACGAAGTGGCCTACAGTTGGCTCCGGGCATTCAAAATCATGCCCAGGAATGGAGTTCTGGGAACTCGAAGAGCACGAAGTGGCCTACAGCTGGCTCCAGGCATTCAAAATCATGCCCAGGAATGGAGTTCTGGGAACTCGAAGACCACGAAGTGCGTTACTCTTGGCTAAAGGAGTCCCCCGCATCCTCCCCCGGATCGCGCCCAGACACCCCTGGGGCGTCATGATGCTCTCTTTTGACCCTACTAGAAACCTATCAGTCTTCGCTGTTAGGTAACAACGCCGTGTAAAAAAATGCACCGACTCGTAGCTCAGGGCCCACAGCAGAGGATCGCCCCCTCGCTCCCCGCCCCTGGAGGGAGGTACGAGGAGGGAGAAGGCAGGGAGGAGGCAGAAGGGAAGGAGAGGGAACGAGGACGAAGACAACATGGTCACACAAGAGCAGGGCACCACCACGACGACGACGACGACGACGACGACCTTGAACGACGACGAACACGATAACGACGGCGACGACGAGAACGATGACGACGGCGACGACGACGACGAGGAGAACGACGACGACGACGACGACGACGAGGACAAGGATGCCGACGACGACCACCACTGCGACGACCACCACAACGACGACGACCACGACGGACCACGACGACGTGGCCGTCCTTCATGGCGTCGTAGACCTGCCAAGCGCGCTCCGGGTGCCTGCTCTGTCCGCACGCGCGGATCAGCGACGTGTAGGTGACGACGTTGGGGGCGAAGCCTCCGCAGCAACGCGTCTCGGGGGGCTGTCCCTTCTCTTCCGTTTCTCGACCTTACCCCTTCCCCCACCCTCACTCCATCTAATCATTCATTCGACGCTACCACTACTACTACTCCTCCCATTACTACTATTACTACTACTACTACTACTACTACTACTACTACTACTACTACGACGACGACTACGAGTACTACTACTCCTACTACTACTACTAACTACTGACTACTACTATACTACTACTACTACTACTACTACTAACTACTCTACTACTACCTACTAACGACTAACGACTAACATACTAACTACTACTAATCTACTACTACTACTAACTACTACTACTACTACTACTACTACTACGAACTATTATTAATACTAATACTACTACTAACCTACTACTACCTATATACTACTACTAACTATATACTACTACTAACTACTACTTAGTACTACTACTACTACTACTACTACTACGACACTACTATACTACTACTACGACTATCACGACTACTTCTCATTCTACTACTACTACTACTACTACTACTACTACTACTCTACTCTACTACTACTACTACTACGACTACTGCTACTACTACTACTACTACTACTACTACTACTACAACTACAACTACTACTACTACTACTACTACTACTACTACTACTACTACTACTACTACTACTACTACTACTACTACTACTACTACTAGAACTACTACTACTACTACTACTACTACTACTACTACTACTACTACTACTACTACTACTACTACTACTACTACTACAATTACTACTACTACTACTACTACTACTACTACTACTACTACTACTACTACTACTACTACTACTACTACTACTACTACTACTACTACTACTACTACTACTAGTACTAGTCTACTACTACTACTAATACTACTGCTACTACTACTACTACTACTACTACTACTACTACTACTACTACTACTACTACTGCTACTACTACTACTACTACTACTGCTGCTACTACTACTACGGTTACTACGACTACTATGGCTACTACTACTACTACTACTACTACTACTACTACGACTACTACTACTACTATTACTGCTACTACTACTACTACGACTACGACTACGACTA